AAACATATTCTGAAGATCCTCATCATCTTGAACCTCAACCTTATAAAAAATTATTTGGTTATTTCCAAAAAAAACTGGATTCTGATAAAATATGTGTCACCGGGCCTCGTCCAAGTTTGGCCTCCAATCGTTTTTTGAAGTACGAGAAATTGGCTTTCCCGTTTAAAAGAAATTGGATGTTGTCTGTGTCTCTAAACAAAAACCCAGAGGTGGGACAAATGTATGTCTCACCGTTGAAATGTGCATTGATGACATATTGGGGTGCAGAGGCCATTGTGTAGGGTTGTTTGAAGGTTTGAAGGTTTGAAGGTTGGAATGTTTGAAGTTTATGAGTTATTCGAAGGTTTGTATGTTTGATTGTTTAAAGGTTTGAAGGTTTGATTGTATGAACGTTTGAAGGTTGTAAGGTTTTAAGGTTGGAATGTTTGAAGTTTATGAGTTATTCGAAGGTTTGTATGTTTGATTGTTTGAAGGTTTGAAGGTTTGATTGTATGAATGTTTGAAGGTTGGAAGGTTTGACAGATTAAGTGAATCAGTGTTATGATAAATGTAAGACTAAATAGGTCATACTAAATTTGAATTAAGTAAGGATGTAACCCCCAAGGCTGCCAATAGTGTTACATGCATTCAGGCATGGCATCCCAAAGGTTGTCACCTAGCCTGCGCCTACTCTGCAACCCATGACACCTCTTATTCGCCAATGGGGATGGCGACACCTTTCATTTTTGTACTCGTTCGCCAAGTCCAATGGCGCCTCCCTTAATGTCCAATCGTGTTACATGCATGCAGATATGTAACCCCCTAGGCTGCCACCTAGCCTGCGCCTACTCTGCACCTACACTGTAACGTGTAAGTCTCCTCCCATCACCTCCAATAGTGTTACATGCATTCAGGCATGGCATCCCAAAGGCTGTCACCTAGCATGCGCCTACTCTGCAACCCATGACACCTCTTATTCGCCAATGGGGATGGCGACACCTTTCATTTTTATACTCTTTCGCCAAGTCCAATGGTGCCTCCCTTAATGTCCAATCGTGTTACATGCATGCAGATATGTAACCCCTTAGGCTGCCATCTAGCCTGTGCCTACTCTGCACCTACACTGTAACTTGTAAGTCTCCTCCCATCACCTCCAATAGTGTTACTTACATTCATGCATGGCATCCCAAAGGCTGTCACCTAGCCTGCGCCTACTCTGCAACCCATGACACCTCTTATTCGCCAATGGGGATGACGACACCTTTCATTTTTGTACTCTTTCGCCAAGTCCAATGGCGCCTCTCTTAATGTCCAATCGTGTTACATGCATGCAGATATGTAACTCCCTAGGCTGCCACCTAGCCTGCACCTACTCTGCAAGAGTGACACTTCTTATGCATGCATGCACCAGCTACCACCTCACCTACTCTATGGAAATTTTTTGCCTATAAATACAGACCATAACATACTTCTCTCACACCCACAATCGTCTCACTCTCTGCTACGAAGTCTTTCATAATCTCTTACACTTTCTAAGTCTTTCATAATCTCAGGCATTTTCAACAATGGCTCTTCTAACAATGGACGATTCTCACAGAGGCACAAGGGACAACATTGCCGCATTTGTAAGTTTCTATTTTGGTTATACATTTTTTATACTTCAGGTAATGCTTTGTTCATCTTACTTAATCTTACACCTTTTACATTATTAACTAAGGATACCAAAAGATTCAGAATCCGGTCTCACAACTACCCGGCTCCCGACCCATTTATCGTACCATATCTAGAATACACAGGTTTCAGACATGTTATAAAGATCTCCAACTGCACAATTGATTCGAAGTTCATTCTTGCAATGTTGGAAAGGTGGAGACCAGAGACCCATACATTTCACCTACCAATAGGTGAATGTACCGTCACGCTAGAGGATGTGTACATGTTACTGGGTCTCCCTATCAACGGTAAGGCCGTTAACGGGTCGGTTCAACAACCCAATTCTCAGTGTGAAGAATTGTTGGGCAGGGATATGGTTGAAGGTGGTGGTGCGAGAGGTCAGGGTATACTACTCACTGAGCTTAAAAATCATTATGCAAGTTTGGAATTAAACGAAAATTCCTCCGAGCAAGACAGGGTAGTAAAAGCCAAAACTTATCTAATGATACTATTTGGAACCTTTTTATTTCCCGAAAGTACGGGAAATAGTGTAAATTTTATGTATTTACATTTACTTAGAGATTTTGAAAAAACAAGAAAGTCTAGTTGGGGTTCTGCAGTTTTAGCCCACCTATACAGTTCCTTGTGCAAAACTGCAGTCAAGGAAAAATGTACATTTTATGGCTGCGTTTTTTTACTACAAGCCTGGGGTTGGTCGAGGATGGAGTCCTTAAACCCCGTCAACAACAACACTTTCGTTTTCCCGTACGCAACAAAGTAAGTCATCAAGTTATATCATTTATTACTATTCATCTCTTCACCAAATATATGCTAAAAATAAAATGTTTTTCATTTCCTTTAGGTATTGCATGAGGGGTATGGATTACGGCAAGAATCCAAGATTCAATGTCGCACTATACCGCAATCTGTTGGATCACCTAGGCCCGAATGATGTACGTCGTACCTTTAAACTTTTCTTCATTTAAATTATTTATATATTACATTTTCATTAACCTGATTTAATTTTTTTCGCAGTTTGTCTGGAGACCATATTTGGGTTTGGGCCATGAACCAAACCCCGAGGATGCAGCAATTTGGAGCGCCAAGACTACAATCATACAGTTCAATGTTGTGGAGATGCACCACAGCGATCGTGTGAAGATGCAGTTCGGAATGCATCAAGAGATACCAAGTGATTCGACTTGTTTGTCCCCGTGGCATCTCAAAAGGGTCGACGCCCAGTGGGGTCTTACCAACTGGAAAGACTTTGCTCCAGAATGGTGTAAGATGTGGCAGAGGCGTCACCGATATGTCTTGCAATTCCCGGTTTTCCTAAATCATGGTAATATGCGACACACAGATCAATATTTATCTTGGTATAGGTCGGTTAGTAACCCTGAAATGCACGTGTCTCATCCAAGGTATTTGGTTGACCCACGAACACAATGGGCACAACCCTCGTTTCCCCAACAACAAACCTAACACACATCAACCTCCCACCAACCCCGCAGACGAAACAGAACCGCAAACACCCAACCACATTCCCCACCACAACACAATTACACTCAAATGCCCCACAACCAACCACAATCACCACCTCAGTACCAATACCCCCATATGCCTCACACCCAACCGCAATATCAATCACAATACCAACACACTCGCATACCCCACACACAATTCCAGTCTTCCGTATATCCCAATATGGGCCCCTCAACATCCAGCCTTAGCCCTAATCTGGGAATGTCGGAAGATTACGAACTAACCGACCCAACTTACCATCAACCACAGTATCACCAAACCACCCAACATCCTCAATACCAAACACCCTAAGATCCATTTCCTTTCTACCCCCCGTACTCAGACGATCAATGCTACAGACCCACCATGGAACCCCACCCACCGCCAACACGACCAAACTTTGAGGGTATGGGTAACCGACTGTACCAAAGCAGATCTTTTAGATATGGAGATCTGACTGATTTCATGGATCCGGAACGCATTGACTTCGCTGGGCCATCGACCCTGCCACAACAGGAAACGCGACGACACCCAACACGGGAAAGGCGAGGACGGGGATGCGGAACCGAGGGTCATTACCGGGTTCCGGGGGATCACTGATTTATCTGTTTTTTTTATCTGTTTTTTTAATGTAATACATGTGGATGTAATCATTTTTTTTAATAAAAAGTCAATTTTGTTGATCCTGTATCCAATATGCAACACACCGGACTGGAAAAAAAAATGCGAAATTTGCCCTAGAATTGCACTAAGGCGCCATCTCACTTGGCTTAGGGCATGCCCTAAGCACCTAGGCGCCAAGTGAGATGGCGCCTCCCCTTAAATAATGGGTATAGGCGCCAAGTGAGATGACTCCTCTTTTGGAGAGTCATTTGAAATATGATTATTTGCGTAATTTTTTTCGAAACATAGTTATTTACGGGAAAAAAAATTTAATACATAGTTATTAAAAAAAAAATTCAAATGGAAAAATATATACTATTTTCATAACAGCACTGCTTTATAACGCGAAAGGGAATCCTCAAGAATTTTATAAACTAATTTTAGTAGGTAAATTTAATTTTAAATCACGCTTTAGTTATATCTTTGTATTTTTTTTTTCCTATTAAAATAGAAAATTTTGCATGCCCACTAAATCTAAATAACACAGCATTTCCTATCTAAAAGCATGTCTCTTTGCTTCAATAAATCTGAAAAATTACTTCCCCTTGTAAATTAATAACTCACTGTAAATTTTCAAATTTACTTTGATGATTTAAGTTTATAGGTTAACTTACACTTAAAGTTTTGAAAACAATCGATACGGTTGCAACAAAACAATATTAACATAGGTTAATATAATATATGTGTATTAATTCACACTATAACGATTGTGTATTCAGTATTGTGTGGTACCTGTACCGACCAAAATCAAGGCACTTATTTAAAACCTTTATATTAATATGTCAATTTCAAACCTATATTAACCACTGAATCAAACATGGAAGAAATTCGGTTTAAAAAAAATATATATATATTATGATTCCAAAATATTTATCGAATTCATCATAGAACTAATTTGCAAAAGCTTATAATAACTTCTTTAATAAAATGACAAAAGCTAAGAAAACAACGGGAGTACAAAAAATGTGTTTGTAGAAGCACTTCTAACTAAAAGTCAAAGAACAAATCAAAATAGATGTAACATTTCACCATCCAAATAAGAGTGAAAGTGCAGAGATTTCACCAACCATTTACACAGAAAAAGCAAAAAGTTAAAATTATATGCAGAATCTATTGAAGCTACAAGCATTAACTATTTCCATGATTGAGATCAACCGAAAGACTAATCCAAAAAAGCTAATTTCTTAAGAAGAACCCAACCTAGAAAGTTGGATTAAGCTATCATGTGATCCAAATTCAGCAGAAGCAACTCTCCCAAACCTTGAAAGTTGAGGCTTAAACTCAACTATCCCATGTGCAAACTTGGAACAACTCACACTGGTTTTCTTCTCCGTTCCTGATTTCTTTGGTGCATTGATTCGATGAAGTCTACACCTGAAGGAGCCTTCATGAGTTGTTGGTGAGCAAAAACACATTCTAGATTTTGTGCTTGATTTGCATTTGTTTTCCCTCAACACTTTCTTTTCATCTTGATTTTGAGCAAAAGAAACTGAAGGCTTTTTCTTTGAGTCTTTGGGCGGTTTACTTTCTGTTACATATTCATAATTCTCTGTCTTCAATACTTGATATCCTTTTTCGCTTGCTATATTCTTCTGCATTTTGCTTGTTCTGAAAATAACACGAGTTACATACATGCTTAGTGGATCCACAAAGGATAAAAATAACATAAAACTACATGAAAAAAGACATTGATTATCGAAAAACAGAAGAACATGATAAAAAAATAACAAGATTCTAGAGTTCAAGATCGGTGAAAACAACGTAACTGAAAAAAAGCGGATTTGGAGTGAGGATGAAGGTTAGAGGGTTTCAATTCGGTTGACATTGTTGATCGGTGAGTTGAATTAACTTTGCGATTCAAGAATTCAGAGAGAGAGAGAGAGAGTTTTTCCACGTTCAAATTATTGTGATTAGGGTTTCGTAAAAGATTTGTTTACTTTTATAGATAGGTGTTAAAGTGTTAAGTGATGATGGATTAGCATTAAACAGTATTTACGATTTTATTATTGTTGCTAATATTTAGGTTAAGAGTTTAAAGATACTGCGTATTCCTCTTTCTCTTTTTATAATCTTTTTTTTTTAATTTAAAAAAAATCAAATCAAATATTTTTATTAATGAATAGGAAAAATGAATTTAATATAAGATGATTGTTTTTAGTATAGTATTGTATAATTTAATTTTTAAATATTTGTTAATCTTTCAATATATAGAAATATATTATATATTAATAATAGTTAATTAATTTTATTTTTATAAATTTTAACGAAAATTTATAATGTATATATTTAAATATAGTTTTAAAATTCATATCTAACTAGCTTCATCAATAGTACATCTATTTTAATCAAATTTAAATGGTAAATTAAAAGATTTAGTTATAATTATGAGAAAGTTAAGGAAAAGATAACACGTTTTTTCCTGACAGGGTTTGCATATTTGAGCGTTAGGATTTGCATGATGGGAAGTCTTTTGTTAGGATTTGTGGTTGAAAATAATGGAATTTTGCTGGATGAATAAGATCTTTTGGAGCGCAACTCTAAAAAAGTCAAAGGCGTTGATCAAGTTTTCAAATAAGATTCGAACTAGTATTTAGTGTATGAAGATGTGGTTAAAATGGAGAGGAATGAATAATAAATTCGTGCATCCAAAAAATCCTATAAGGATTCAATAATGGAAAATTCTAATGGAAATGGGCAGAATAATAGTACTATGACAGATAGAAGAAATGAAGATGGATCAATATGATTATCCTACTTTCACACTTTCGTGAAAAGAAGAGGAAATGATAGCCAAACCATGGAAATCAGGAGTTATTGTTAAACTTGAATACAAGGCCTTGGAAACTCGTTTGAAACAAATGTGGGTGAGGAATGACATTATCAATATTATAGATCTGAGTAACGACTATATTCTTATGACATTTTCATATAAAGTTTATCAATATCATGCTTTAATAGATGGCCATTGTTACTATATGATCATTATCTAACTATTAGAGAATGGAGCCTTAATTTTCATCCAGATAGTGATCAAATTAAGTAGGCGGCAGTTTAGGTGAGATTTTTAGAGTTACCCATTTTAATATTATGATGCAAAAGTTCTTATATTCATTGGTAACATAGTCGATAGATTAATGAAGGTGGACAAGAACACTCTTCTTCAAGAATGGGGCAAGTATGTGAGATTGTGTATGAAGGTTGGTTTATCAAAAATGCTACTTGTTATATTCATGCTTACAGATAAAATCTATAAGGTGGAATTTGAAGGATTACATTAGTTATGTATCAATTGTAGGAAGTTTGGTCACTATATAGAAGATTGTGGGGAGAAAGCAACTAATGTAACCGAGGAGGAATATGGTGTTCAAGAGGGAGAAAATAATGTTGAGTCCAATGGTATTCGATGTGTGAGTAAGGGGGAAAGAGGGTCCTTGGTTGGTTGTCAGTTGGAAGGCGGTGGGAGAACTGACTTGGTTGTTTTACGTTTGATCGTAAATGTTGCGGTTAGCAAGAGTCACCACCGATTTTTCTTTTATCCAAAAGGAAAGGCTGAAAAGAACAGGAAAGACCTTTGAGATGTTTTCTTGAGTTCGGGGGGTAGATTATGAAAAGGGAATGTATTAGCACCCTTTTCATCTATGGTTTTCCATGGGCTCTTAGTTACTTGCTAGATCACTTGCTTTTATTTGAAAATGTGTTTTGTGTGGTTTTTGAAAGTATTTTGAAAAGGTGTCATCGTTTAGGCAAACTTTGTAATGATTCTCGTTCGTAAGAATGTATACAAAGTGTCGATCTTTTGAAAATGTTTTCAAGTTTGAAAGATGTTTTTGAAAGTGTTGGTGTTTGTTTTGAAATAACAAGGATATTTTTGTTTTGAAATTGAGCAAGCAACTAGGAACATTCTACCTACTCAAAAGTCTTTCATATTCATTTCCTCTTTCCTTTGACATTGTTATCTTATCATTGATTTGGTAAGTAACCCTATCTTTGGATGTAAAAGGACGGGCGTGGGTCATCGTATAACCATAATTAGCAATGTTGTAAGTTATCTTAGCATTTTCTTTAGGGACTAAAATCATTTTGAAAGGCAACATGGATAGCGTCATCGAGGGACTATGATCTTGTATTTTTTGCTTATTTTTGCTAAGATACCCCACATGCATAATATGGTCATTTTTGTAAGGCAACCAAGTGGATTTACCCTAAGGGTGTTTGTGTGCAAGTGTATTAATTTACATGCTTGATTTGTCTTTGATTAGGGTTTGCTAAGTATTGATTTTAATCTTTCCATACAAACCCTAATTACTAGAATTTGTATATAAAGCAATAAATTGCGGAAATTAAAATTATTACGCTATTACATCATTTAGGGGAGGGGGTGTACAAATTACAAATGAGGAATTGCAAGAAAACTAAATCTAATTATCTATTACAACCATATTGAATATTGAATAAATGTACAAAATAAAGATAAAAATACAAGAATATGAAATGTAAAAAGGAATGTGATTTTTGTTTGGTTTTTATGAAAAGGTTTTTTTTGACCTAATTAAATAAAATAAAATAATTAACTAAAAAAAGAAAATTAAGATTAAGTTAGTAAAAGTTTTTTTAGGGTTTTTGTGAATTTAATTAGTGAATAAAATAATTAAATAAAAGTCCTAAATTCTAAATTGATTTTAATTTACAAGAAAAATAATATAATATAATAGTTAAGACTAATTATCTAAGTGTTAAAAAAAGGTAAATTAATTTATTAAAGAAAATGTTTTTGTTCTTTTAGTTTTATGAAAAAAATAAACTAAATAAAAAAAATAATAAAATATAAATATTTTTGGATTTTTTGTTAATAAAAATAATAATAATGATAATAATAAAAATAATAGTAAAGATAATGTAAAATGAAAATAAAATAAAAAAGAAAGAAAATAAAATAACAAAAGAAAAATAAATGGGACATGAGTGTAAACAGCAAGGCAGGGGGTCAGAACATAGCAAAAAAAAGTAAGGCCGAAGCATTTGGAGGCCCAGGCACTGCAAAAATAAAGAAATGTCAAAAAATATGGAAAAAATACAAAAGGCAGCACGCTGAGGTTCGAACTCATGACCTCTTGATTACCAGCGCGCTGCCTTACCACTGGGGTGGCTATACATTCGTTAATATAACTAAAATGATAAATATATAATGTAAAACAAGTCCTGAACACACTTCATCTTCAACCTCCAGTCAGACTACCTGTAACTTCACCATTTCTCAACAAAAATGGAAAATACAAACATGAAAGTTGTTCCATTTTTTCATACGAATCCAACCATATAAATATCATAAACTATAAATCAAAGATGAATGAGAATTTTTGATAGTACCAAATCCTGACCTAGTTATTTTCAGAGGTTCAGATTCAAAATTCTAACTACTCAAGCAACAATAATGAAATCTAAGGATATGGTTAGCTTCAGGACAATGATATCTACATTTCTTATTCACAAATAAACCATTAATGATGTTTTTATGAATAGTTCAAAAGTCAGAAAACTCACCTTGCAAAAGGGTATCGTATTTTGAGTTTGAGCAGCTTTTGATGAGTTCCAGTGATTGGATTAGCTTCCTCAAGTTCCCAGGAAGTTAATGTGATGCTTGGCTTGAGCTGAAAGCGGCTGAGGAGTTCTGGAGAAGTCAAGGTGTAAGGTGTTGTGTTTAAAAATGGTGGATGATGATGGAGGTGTTACAGTTGTGTTGCGGGTGTTGGAATTGTTTGTGTATGTTATTTAGAAACTTTTGAAAGTAAAAGGCCAAGAAACGAACGAGAAAATTTGGAGATTGGATTCAAAACTCAGAAATGGCAAGTTTTGAGATGTTTTTTGGTGGTTCTGTGTTTTAGGAGGTTTCAGGGCTTGAGCATGCGTGTATTTTCTTGCAAATGACTTGTGTTTATGTATGGAAAAGGTTTGGATACTTGAGGTGGTCAGAAGTACAAGATAACATGTTTTGGCTTCTTGACTTATTTTTGAAGTAAGGTTGATAAACATGGTTTCAATGCATAGTACAAGGCTATATAGAGTGGTTACCAACTTTAAACAAGCTTATTTTACTTTGTAAAGGAAGTTTGTGCAGAAGGAATAAGTGCAAAGCTCAATGCAAATTGACTTTGCATAAAGCTTGCTTTATGTAAATGGCAATGGTGCCTTTGTGCCATTAATGGAAAATTGTCTTGGACAAAGCTTGAATTAAGTGAATAATAGCTCAAAATCAAGTGTAATATTATGATTATAGAGAGATCTTGAGGTTTAGAGGCCTGCAAAGCAAGATTGTGCAGCATAGGTTTGAGATTTGAATTTTGTTCATCACAAAATTTGCCTTGTAAAACAACTTGAAGCCCCAACTTATGACCTTCGATTCTACTTACTCACAAATGATCTCAAGGAGTTCTTGGACATTTTGAAAAGCTTGTAATGTTCTCTACAACCCCTCTTTGAATCCATTTTGCAAAATCCAAATGGAACTATGTGAAACTTAGGTCAGAAGTTAGGTCAAAATCCTGACCTAAAATGTTCAAAATTTCACTAAGTGTTTTAGTTTCAAGACCATAACTTTATGGATTAATAACTTGAGATCCAAGAATTTCTAGTAGAAGTTGTGTAAAGAAATATTGTAGATCTCATGGAGATCTACAACTTTCATGTTGAAAGTTTCTTTTGAATCATCTTGCATCATGGTGAAAAATTGGCTCAAAGTTGTGAAAAATATGAGGTTTTCAACACAGAAAAATTTCTAAGTTTGAAAACTTTGACTTTTCAAAACGAAATCTTGAGTTTTTGATTTCT